AACGGTTCGCGCTTGGGCCCCCGCGACCTGGCGTCTCACAGGCAGGGGGCCCGTCCGCCATGCCAGCGCGCTTGTTTTCCGCGCGTGTTCGGAGGGGGCTGGCGCGGAGCGATGGGGTGCGCTCTTTCGCGGCCTCGGCCTCAGACCCCCTGGGCGCCGTCTTAGATTGCAGCCTGGGCTCGAAAGCGTCGAGGCGAGGCGCCTCCCTCAGAGCCGCCGGGAGGGGGGGGGGGGGGGGGCGGCGGCGCCCTCCGATCGCGGTGTCGCGCGGCGCTCGCTAGAGTGGCGGAGAGGCTCATGGTCGAGGGCGTCGCAGCAGTACTGGGGGAGGTATTCGCATCCTGCGGGATCCAAATGCTCGGCGGCACCGTGTCCTCGCGCCTCCTCGGCCCCTTGCCTGCTGTTGAACGACCCAGGACGACCCCCGATTTCCGACTTCCGTGTCGCGTCAGCGCATGCAAGCTGTCCTTGGGAGACGGAGGATGGCTTTGTCTCCAAATTACCCAGAGGAGTGCGGCGAGGATTTGCGGCAGAGCGGGAGTCAATCACCGCGGTGCGATTCTTCTGTTTCGCTCGAGAAATTGGGGGCGCACGAGCGCCACGAGACTGCTGCGTGACAACGACCGGCTCGGAGTCTCGGGGGGCGGCAGCGCCTGGCGGGGCACCGCGGCAAGTCAGCGTCGAACGTGGAGGCCGCGCAGCCGGGCCTCGATGCGGCCGCAGACGAGCGCGAGGCATTCTTCGACCGCAGCAGAGGCCGCTGGGTCAGATGGAAGAGGTTTGTTTCATCCTGAGGTCGCCGCGCACTGGACGTCTGATCGGGCCGGGCATTTGTCCATCTTGGACACGCTCTGCAGACGCCGCCCAGGTCGCTGCCCACGCGCCGAGGGCGGGGCGCATTTTCTCACATCTCATCAAGAGCAGGCTGACGACATGGCACCATTCTTAAGGCAAAGCCACTTGGGCCAGAGGCCTGGCGTTTAAGAGAAAGGGGGCGCGACTCTCGACCGCCCGCAGGCCTCCCGCGACGGCTGCGCGCACCCCGCCAGCGACCGGCTCGTCTACGCTACTAGATCATTGCGGGGGTGGAGGCAGCGGCAGCGTGCGACGCGGCTCGTGGCGCCAGTTGCTCGCACGCGGACCACGCTGCCCATGTTCGACGCGCGCAGATGACTTCGCCTGGAGCCCCACCCGCCGCGCGTAGCCATGCGAGCCCTGCCGCTGGAGCCTTCGGTGGAGCTCCCTCTGGGGCCACGAAACGTCTGAGGGGTGTGCCGTATTGGTGGCGGGTTAGACATGCGCACCCTGCCGCTGCGGCCTTCGGTGGGGCTCCCTCCTGGGGCCACGAACCATGTGAGAGTGGTGTGCCGCATGTAGGGCGGGAGCGCCATGCGAACCTTGCCGCTGGGGCCTTCGGTGGAGCTCCCTTCTGGGGCCACGAAACGTGTGATGGGTGCGCCGAGTTGGGGGGCGGACATGCCATAAGAGCCTTGCCGCTGGGGCCTTCGGTAGAGCTCTCTCTGGGGCCACGAAGCGTGTGAGGGGTGTGCCGAATGTGGGGGCGGTGCGCCACGCGAACCTCGCCATTTGGGTTTTCCATGGAGCTCTCTCCGCGGGCACGAGACGTGTGAGGGGTGTGTTGAGGTGGGTTCGGGTACTCCATGCGAGCTTTGCCGCTCAGGTCTGGGGTGGGCCCTTCTGGTACCACGAAACGTGTGAGGGGTGTGCCGTATGTTGGGCGGGTGCGCCATGCGAAATGTGCCGCGGGGGCCTTCGGCGGACTTCCCCCGGAGCCACGCAGCGCGTGCCGTATATGCCGAATTAGTTGCGGGGGTGCCATGCGAGCCTTGCTGCTGGGGCCTTCGGTGGAGCTCCCTCTGGCCACAAAACGTGTGAGGGGTGTGCGCAGGGCAGAGGCAGGGATGGGAAGGAGGATAAGAGGAGGAGAGGAGAGGCGAGGAAAGGAGAGGAGAGGAGAGGAGAGCAGAGAAAAGGCGAGAAAACGAGGAGAAGGAGGAGGAGACGCGGGGCGCTGTCTCTTCAAAACGAGGGTCCAGCACCTCGGGATGGTAGAGAAAACTTCTGGGAGTTGTGTGGTGGGGGGGCATGGGGCGGAAGGCTGTATTGCAGCATCGCTGATGCACCATGGGTTTTTACTCCAGTCCTCCTCCACCTTCTCCTCCTCATCCTTCTCCTCCTCCTCCTCCTCCTCCTCCTCCTCCTCCTCCTCCTCTTCCCTCCTACTCTTCCCTCATCATCATCCTCTCTCGGCGGTCTTGGGTTGTCCTCGGCGGTTTCCAGTGGTCTTTAGGCATATTCGGCGGTGTTCGGAATATCTGGCGGTCGTCGGCATGTTGCTGTTGTTGTTGTCTGATATGGTCGCACATCTTCGCAGACCTCTGGGAGGGCGACTGCTCCCAAGGAGATTGCTCTGGTATCTCAGGATGTCGGCTGTGGGTTCCTGCCAGAAGGGCCCTTCGCCCCTCCGAGCATCTCCTGGCACCTGAGGAACCAGCACCGGCCCCCTCCCCCCCCCCCTTGCACTCCTTGCCTGGAGCCTCGCCGCGAGGTGCCCGAGGAGTGTGCCGCGGCCGCGGAGGACGCCGGCGAAAGCTCCGAGGGCGAGCCCCCCGAGCTCATGGACCTCATCGATGCCGTGGAGGAGGCGGCAGCCGACGTCGAGGCTCTAGCGAAGGTGCTGCGCGACATCGGCCGGCGGATCCGCCTGACGCCCACCGACAGGGACCTGCTGACGGACTTCGAGGGCACCACGCAGATCTGCCAGGCGCTGGCGGCGCCGCCCCACAGCTGGCGCGGCGAGGCCATGGTGGCGTTCTGCCGCATCGTGCCCGACGTGTGCCGCACGAGCGTCCTCAACCGCGGGGCGCTGCGGGACGAGGGCTTCCTGCAGGGCCTGCTCGGCCTGCTCGGCGCCGCCGCGCGCGGCGGCGAGGAGGCCACCACGGCGGCGGCCTGCAGCGCCCTGAGTGCGCTGTGCACCGCCAGCGACGGCAACAAGAAGGCCGCCGCCGGGCTGTGGGTCGGCGTCCCTGGCGAGGCGGCAGCCGTGCAGGGCATGCAGCTGCTGGTCGAGGTGCTCGGGCTGTTTCCCCAGTCGGCGGCGGTGCAGACAGAGGGCCTGTCCGCCCTTCGGGCCATGGTTGTCGACGACGACTCGAGGAAGGGCGCCGAAGAGGAGGCGTTCGCTGTGCTCAATCGCAGAGTGCTCATGGGAGAGGGGTTTTCCGTTGTGCACGCGGCGATCGTCATGGCCTTCGCTACCGCAGACTCCACGAGCGGGCAGGCTCAGGCAAGGCTGACTGAGCAAGCCTTGCTCATGCTGCGCGAGGCATCCCGAGAGCAGGACCACATTCAGGAGATGGCTTTTGGCTCCAAGCTGCAGAAGCGGGCTGTGTCGACGCTGAGCTCCTCCAGTGACGCGAAGGTCGTCCGCGCAAGCTTGGCGGCCCTTCGTGCGTTCGCGTTCAACGAGGATGCGAGGGAGCACCTTGCCCTGCTCTCGGACGACGTGCTGACGTGCGTGGCCGCCGTGCAGAAGCACGTTGGCGTTGCCGCGGTCTGCGAGCAGGGCTTTGGCCTCTTCGTGAACCTCACCCTGCGCAAGTCGCCCATCGCGGCGAGGTTGGGAGATCTGTTGCCTCTGGGCCAGGCCTCGGGACGATCGAAACAGGGACGGAGGTAATGGCGGACGAAGGCCAGCAGCAGTCTTTGTCCTCTCTGAGCATGTCTCGCTGCCGGTATCGCCATGGACGTTGTCCAGTGCTGACAATAGTCGTCTGCTCAACAGCGGCCCGCTGTAGGGCAGGCGACAGCAGTTGCTGCTGGGCCATCGTGCCCATTTTGGTTCGTGCCCAGCTCGGGCGTGTCAAAAGGCGGTCCTGCGACAGCACCCTGACCGGCCCGACATCGCACGCTCGGTGACGATGGCGTTACGGAACATTGCGTCTCAGGTCGACGCTGTCGGTGCGGAGGTTCGCGAGTCGGGCCTCTTTGAGCAGTTGAGGGAGCTTGTGTTGCAGCGGGAAGACAAGCCTCGCTGGGGCGCGGCAGTGGACGCCGCCAGGCAGTTCCTTCGAGAGTTCAAGGCGGACCAAGGGGTCCAGAAGAAGGCGGTGTACAACGCTTACTACTGAGCAGTCACTGCCAGGGGCTGGCCCAGCCGCTCCCCTGCAGCGGCGCGTCCGTCGGGCGTCCCCCAGTCCGTTCTGCACCCTCGCCCGTGAGGCTTCTGGGCTCTCCAGAGGGCCGCGTTGTGCTTGCGGGGTCGGAGCGCCAGCAGACACCGTGGGTGCACGCGGCAAGCTTTGCGTGTCTGGTGTTGGCAAGCTCAAGCACCCACGGCGGAGCCGCGCGGTGGGCTGACCAACACGGTCAGCCCGAAGCTGTGTAGCACTTGTCCACTCGGCTTGCTCCGCAGTTGCCTCCTTTTCCTGCCCTGCCTAGTAAAAGAGTGGTCCGTTCTTATCATCGCCACAATCGCCGTGGCCAGTGCTATCGAGTTTGCAGCAGGGCGCACCGCTGTAGCTTCGCCACCGCCGCCTCCTCGTGCCCGCAGCCCCAGGGGCAGCACCCGTCCCTTCGATCGGAGACACGAGCAGCTCCGGAGTCTGGGACATTGCGAGAGTGCGTGTCGCACCAGGCGCATCGTGCTAGCTGAATGTGAGCACGCGCGCTTTCATTCCAACGGTTGGTCTGTTGCATCCAGCGGCCCAGTCCTCTCCGAACGCATGCATATTCGAGCATGTCGTGGTATAGCAAATCGTACACATGATCCTGGATACAGCTCGTTATACCGCACTGCAGTTGTAAACGGCTGCGGCTACTTGCCCATTAGTCATAAGAGTACACACCCTCCTCCACGCCGCAGGCCCATCGCTCGTCGCCAAAGCAAATCCGGCTCGACCGCGATAATGCCACAACCTTGTGGCAACGCAGTGTCCAAGACGCATCGCTAGTGTAGCCCCATGAATTGAAATATGATGGATGCCGAAATGATGATATGTTGGTCACGGTCATGCGGTTTTCCGTGGTCACCAGCATTGGGTTAATGTTGGCGAGGCCTCACGATATTGGTGTATCGAAGACGCCTACGGCGAATCACCGCCGCTCCTTGCCTTTTTGGAAGCGCCTATGTGGCCGAAGGTTGCGGCCAGAGGCCTGCCAAGCTATCGGACCATGTGTTCCCCGAATCGGTTTGGAAAGCCTTCGGGGAACACGTGGGCATCTTGAAGGTCATCTTGGCCGTCTGGAGGCCATTCTGACCCTTTGGGGCCCTCTTGGAGGACGTCTTGGAGGGCTCTTGGGCCATCTTGGAGGCTATCTTGAGCGTCTTGGAGACCTCTTGGGCCGTCTTGGGGGCCTCTTGGGGCCGAGTCTTGGGCCTCTTGGGCGATCTTGGTGGGCACTTGGGCCGTCTCGGGCCGTCGAAAGGCAGAAAAAATGCAAATGCCACAATCCTTCAAAAACCCATGGCAAATCAATGATTTTGGCCTTTTCGGGCCTTCCTGGAGGCCCTCTTGGAGGCCTCCTGGGCCGTCTTGGGCCATCTTAGGGCCATGTTCGGCCGTCTTGGTGGGCTCCTGGTCCGTCTGACGCCGTCGGAAGCCGTTTGGGGGGCCTCTATAAGCCGACTTGGGGCCCTCTTGTAATGCTCCAGGGCCGTCTTGGAGGCCATCTCGGGCGTCTTAAAGGCCTCTCCTGTGCCGTCTTGGGGGCCCCTTGGGGCCGTCTTGGGGCCCTCTTGGGCCGTTCTGGGGCCATCTTGGGGGCCTCTTGGGCGATCGTTCGGCGATCTTTGGGGGCTATGGGGCCGTCTCGGGCCGTCGGAGGGCCGAAAGAAGCAAATGTCAAAATCCGTCAAATACGTTAGGAAAATCAATGTTTTTGGCCTCTGCTGGCCTTCCTGGAGGCCGTCTTGAGAGCCTCTTGGGCCGTCTTGGACCAGCTTTGAGCCAACTTCGGCCGTCTTGGTGGGTTCCTGGCACGTCTGACGCCGTCGGGAGCCGTCTTGGGGGCCTCTATAAGCCGACTTGGGGCCCTCTTGTAATGCTCCAGGGCCGTCTTGGAGGCCATCTTGGGCGTCTTGGAGGCCATCTTGGGCGTGTTGGAGGCCTCTTGGGCCGTCTTGGGGCCCTCAGGGGGCCGTCTTGGAAGCCACCTGAGCCGTCATGGGGCCCTCTTGGGGGCCTCTTGGGCGATCTTGGGGGCCTCTTGGACCGTCTTGAGCCGTCGGAATGCCGAGAAGAAGCAAATCCCCAAATCCTTCAAAAACCTAAGGAAAATCAATGATTTTGGCATCTTCGGGCCCTCCTGGAGGACCTCTTGGAGGCCTCTTGGGCCGTCTGGGAGGCCTCTGGGAGGCCTCTTGAGCCGTCTTGGACTCTCTTGGGCCGTCTTGGAGGCCGTCTTGGACCATCTTGGGCGGAATTGGAGGCCATCTTGGACCATCTTGGAGCCCATCTTGGCCATCTTGGACGCCATCTGGAGCCGTCTTGGAGGATTTTTCCGGGACTTTGCGCTCCTGGAAGGGCCTCCCGGGACCCCGGCGGGACGGGCCGAAGCGCCAGGGTGAGTTCTTGTGGGAAAAGAACCAAAACCAGAACCGAGAGGTCTAGCACGCCAGGCACCCTTGCGATGAATCGACAGGGGGCGGCGGATCGAAGACGCCTACGGCGAATCACCGCCGCCCCCTGCCTTTTTGGAAGCGCCTATGTGGCCGAAGGTTGTGGCCAGAGGCCTGCCAAGCTATCGGACCACGTGTTCCCCGAATCGGTTTGGAAAGCCTTCGGGGAACACGTGGGCATCTTGAAGGTCATCTTGGCCGTCTGGAGGCCATTCTGACCTTTTTGGGCCTTCTTGGAGGACGTCTTGGAGGGCTCTTGGGCCATCTTGGAGGCTATCTTGAGCGTCTTGGAGACCTCTTGGGCCGTCTTGGGGGCCTCTTGGGGCCGTGTCTTGGGCCTCTTGGGCGATCGTTGTGGGCACTTGGGCCGCCTCGGGCCGTCGGAAGGCAGAAACAAAGCAAGCAAATGCCACAATCCTTCAAGAACCCATGGCAAATCAATGATTTTGGCCTTTTCGGGCCTTCCTGGAGGCCCTCTTGGAGGCCTCTTGGGCCGTCTTGGGCCATCTTAGGGCCATGTTCGGCCGTCTTGGTGGGCTCCTGGTCCGTCTGACGCCGTCAGAAGCCGTTTGGGGGGGCCTCTATGGGCCGACTTGGGGCCCTCTTGGAATGCTCCAGGGCCGTGTTGGAGGCCATCTTGGGCGTCTTAAAGTCCTCCTGTGCCATCTTGGCGGCCGTCTTGGGGCCCTTTGGGCTCTTGGGCCGTTCTGGGGCCATCTTGGAGGCCTCTTGGGCGATCGTTCGGCGATCTTTGGGGGCCCGTCTTGGGCGTCTTGGAGGCCATCTTGGGCGTGTTGGAGGCCTCTTGGGCCGTCTTGGGGCCTCAGGGGGCCGTCTTGGAAGCCACTTAGGCCGTCATGGGGCCCTCTTGGGGGCCTCTTGGGCGATCCTGGGGGCCTCTTGGACCGTCTTGAGCCGTCGGAATGCCGAGAAGAAGCAAATCCCCAAATCCTTCAAAAACCTAAGGAAAATCAATGATTTTGGCCTCTTCGGGCCCTCCTGGAGGACCTCTTGGAGGCCTCTTGGGCCGTCTGGGAGGCCTCTGGGGGGCCTCTTGAGCCGTCTTGGACTCTCTTGGGCCGTCTTGGAGGCCGTCTTGGACCATCTTGGGCGGAATTGGAGGCCATCTTGGACCATCTTGGAGCCCATCTTGGCCATCTTGGGCCGTCTTCGGCCGTCTTGGACTCTCTTGGGCCGTCTTGGAGGCCGTCTTGGACCATCTTGGGCGGACTTGGAGGCCATCTTGGGCCATCTTCGCGATTGTTTTTGGATGTCCCGAGCGAAACGGCCGTTTCAGGGAGCCGTCTTGGGCAGGAAATTGAGGAATTGGGCATTTTCCGGGTGGCCGGCGGGACGGGCCGGAGCCCCAGGGGGAGTTCTTTTGGAAAAAGAACCAAACCAAAACCGAGAGGGTTCAGCACGCCAGGCACCCCTGCGATGAATCGACAAGGGGCGGCGGATATATATTAGTTTTCGGACCATCCCGCCACCCGCCATCATGGTTTTCCCAACCATCCTGTGGTGTTGGGTTCTCGTTTTGAAGAGACAGCGCCCCGCATTCCTTCCTCCCCCCTCCTTGTCTTTGCTCTCGGCACACCTCTCACACGTTTCGTAGCCCCATAGGGAGCTCCACCGAAGGCCCCAGTGGGGGTGTTCGCATGCGGTTCCCCTACCTAGGGCAGCGCTTCGTGGCCCCATAGGGAGCTCCACCGAAGGCCCCACTGGCGGTGTTCGCATGCGGTTCCCCAACCCAGGGCAGCGTTTCGTGGCCCCATAGGGGGCTCCGCCGAAGGCCCCACTGGCGGTGCTCGCATGCGGTTCCCGTACACAAGGCAGCGCTTCGTGGCCCCATAGGGAGCTCCACCGAAGGTCCTAGTGGGGGTGTTCGCATGCGGTTCCCCCACCCAGGCAAGCGTTTCGTGGCCCTATGGGAAGCTCCACCGAAGGCCCGGGTGTTCGCATGCGGTTCCCCCAACCCAGGGCAACGTTTCGTGGCCCCATAGGGAGCCCCACCGAAGGCCCCAGTGGGGGTGTTCGCATGCGGTTCCCCCACCCTGGGCAGCGCTTCGTAGCCCCATGGGGAGCTCCACCGGAGTCCCCAGTTGGGGGTGTTCGCATGCGGTTCCCCTACCCAGGGCATCGTTTCGTGGCCCCATACGGAGCTCCACCGAAGGCCCCATTTGCGGTGTTCGCATGCGGTTCCCCCACCCAGGGCAGCGTTTCGTGGCCACCTAGGGAGCTCCACCGAAGGCCCCACTGGCGGTGTTCGCATGCGGTTCCCCCACCAGGGCAGCGCTTCGTGGCCCCATAGGGAGCTCCACCGAAGGCCCCAGATGAAGTGTTCGCATGCGGTTCCTCCACCCAGGGCAACGCTTCGTAGCCCCATGGGAGCTCCACCAAAGGCCCCAGTGGGGGTGTTCGCATGCGGTTCCCCCACCCAGGGCAGCGCTTCGTGGCCCCATAGGGAGCTCCACCGAAGGCCCCAGTGGGGGTGTTCGCATGCGGTTCCCCCACCCAGGGCAGCGTTTCGTGGCCCCATAGGGAGCTCCACCGAAGGCCCCATTGGGGCGTGGCCCTCTCGAAGGCCCCATTGCTGGCATGCGGTTCCCCCGCCCAGGGCAGCGCTTCGTGGCCCCATCGGGAACTCCACCGAAGGCCCCAGTGGCTGCTCTCGCATGCTGTCCCCCACCCTGGGCAGCGCTTCGTGGCCCCATAGGGAGCTCCACCGCAGGCACCAGTGGCTGCTCTCGCATGCCGTCCCCCCGACCAGGGCAGCGCTTCGTGGCCCTATAGGGAGCTCCACCGAAGGCCCCAGTGGCCGCTCCCGCATGCGGTCCCACCACCCAGGGCAGCGTTTCGTGGCCCCATAGGGAGCCCCACCGAAGGCCCCAGTGGCGCAGGTCGCATGCGGTTCCCCCACCCTGGGCAGCGCTTCGTGGCCCCATAGGGAGCTCCACCGCAGGCACCAGTGGCGCAGTTCGCATGCCGTGCCCGTGCCAACGGCAGCGCTTCGTGGCCCCATACGGAGCTCCACCGAAGGCCCCAGTTGCGGTGTTCGCATGCGTATCCCCCACCCAGGGCAGCGTTTCGTGGCCCCATGGGGAGCTCCACCGAAGGCCCCACTGGCGGTGTTCGCATGCAGTTCCCCCACCCAGGGCAGCGCTTCGTGGCCCCATCGGGAACTCCACCGAAGGCCCCCGTGGCGCAATTCGCATGCGGTTCCCCCACCCAGGGCAGCGCTTCGTGGCCCCATAGGGAGCTCCACCAAAGGCCCGCCCCACTGGCGGTGTTCGCATGCGGTTCCCCCACCCAAGGCAGCGCTTCGTGGCCCCATAGGGAGCCCCACCGAAAGCGGCACCCACAACGCGTTACGAACAATTGCATATGGTTGGGCCCTTCGCCAGCATAATTCGGCCCATTCCGCCACCATGCTTGGATTGTGGGTCAGGGTTCCCATGTATGTTTCTTGGGGATGCCTCTTGAGGGCATTTTGCGGGCCTCTTGGGAGCCTCTTGGGGGCCTCTTGGTGCTTCGGAGTCCTCTTGGGGGCCTCTTGGGGCATCTTGTGTGCTCTTTGGGCCTGCTGGGCGCCTCTCGGGGCCGAGCGCTCGAATTGTCTGCTCGGGTCCCCGATCTGGGCCCTTATTCGAGCCGTCTTGGGGGTCTTTTGGGCCGTCTTGGGCGCCTTTCGGACCGTCTTGGGGCCATCTTGGGCGGTTTCGGGGCCCTTTTGGAGGCCTCCTGGGCCGTCTTGTGGCGATTTTTGGGGCCTCCTGGGCCGTCTTGGCTTGTCGGGAAGCCGAAACGGAGAGACCGCCAACATCCTTAACACCTAAGTGGCATCAAGGAGTTTTGCCTCTTGGGGCCTCCTGGGAGGCCTTTTGAGCTCCCTTGAGGCGTCTCGAAGGCGTGTTGGGCAGGCTTGGGGTCATCTTGGATGTCTTTGCGCGATTGTTCGGCGATCCGAGGCACTCTTGGAGTGCATGGGCGGGCTCGTCTGGCCCTGCAGTACTGACGGACTGTATGGGCGGACCGCATTGACCGTATCAGTGGTGATTGATGGGTAATTCGCGTATCCATGACAGCACATGTTGGGCCAATTGTCAGTCGACTGTTTGTTGCATGGATGTGTGTAGGTAGATGCCCTACGTGTTTTGATTCATGTACAGATATACACATGTATGTGTGTAACTGTGCTTACATACAAATGGACGTGCACATACTTAGATCTCTGGCGCTACGGGAATCGAGCAGCCGTCAAGACGCTCGAGCTCAGCCTGAGCAGACACCCAAGCAAGCCATGGTATGCCGTTTTAGAGCCTGCGCCTGGTGGCAGCCAGCCTGGGCAGACCGCCGCGAGAGTGCTCTAGTCTTGGAGGCCTTTTTGGCCGTCTTTGGGTTTCTCTGCGGGGGCCCGCTCATGCACGCCTCTGGCCGGACCGAGGGTCATCCCGGAGGCAGTCATTCAATTCAGAGAAGGAAAACCACCCAGCGCGTTCCACTACTCGCAAACGTCCGAAAAGCGCACGCCTGCTTCGATGTAGTTAATCGTAGATCCCCCGCGGCGGATCAAGGGCACTTGCGAGCATTTCCTTTGCGAGTAGTGGAATGCCCAGAAAAGGTACCCGTACCGCTACCCTTCCCTCGTTTTCTCCGTCTTGAGCCTCCTGGGAGGCCCTTGTCACCACCGGTGGATTAAAGGTTTTCTGGTCAGAGCGCACCCCAGAAGAGGTCCGGGGGGAGTAGGGGTATCGGTACCTTTCGGTCTCCTCATCCGTGGAGTCGCCCTCCGGGCTCAGTGTCAGCTGATGCCGCGATCGGCGATCTCAGATCGCAGTGATCGGGTGATTGCGAGAGGGCCGTTGACGTGATCGGTTCGGCTTGATAACGCGATCGTCCGCGACGGAATGTGTCATCGATCCGTGGTCGGCGAGGTAGCCGTCGCGATTGGGTTTCCGATCCGATCACGTGATCGGTTGGTGCGATCGGCCGAGTCGTCAGGCGTACACGAAGTTCGTGGTGCTTTCTTGGGGCGCTCTTCGGGGCCCGTAGGATCCCCTCTCGGGTCCATTGTGGAACTGAAGTTGGAGCCTTCTAGAGCTACCCCTACCAGTGACCAACGTGAGGACCTCTGGGAGCCTCTCGGAGGCATCTTGGGGCAGCCTTTGGAGCTTTCTTGTGGCGTTTAGGGGAGTTCGGGGCCCTCTTGGTTTCCAGACGGGAGAAAATGGTGTGGGCCGAGTTGATCCGATAAAGCACCTACGCCCAGAGGGCTAATGATGCGCATGTTACAGCATTGTGTCTGGATTGCGCGTGAAGCTCCAGCGAGTACGTATCGTGCATCCGCGCGCCTCTGCATCACCAGTCACTTCTCGCCCTGCTCCTACGCGTCTCCGACGCGCCCTGCACGCCCGGCAGCAGACGAGGAGGAGGAGGAGGAGGAGGAGGAGGAGGAGGGGGAGGGGGAAGAGGAGGCAAGGGAGGAGGAGGAAGAGGAGAAGGATGTTGTAATAAACCCGCCCTCAAAATTTAATTTCATCTCCACAGGTCCACACAAGGGTGTGTGTATTTTTCTGAGGGAAGTGCCCTTTGGGAGACAACCGTTTGAAAATCCTGGACCGTGCCAAACACTTTTCTTGCGACTCCAACGCAGCGAATCCGGATGCAAGACGACCATTCCATTCCTGGGACTTCAAAACCGCGAAGGAACGTGATTGTTGCGCCCTGACAGTCCCGCATCGTGCCAGAGCACAAAATCTGGGACTTCAGCCATAGGATTCTCTGAAACTGTTGTGAGCTCTTACGATGCTTGCGCGCGGCGCTCAGGCGAGAGCCACATTTGACAACCGCCCTCCCTCTATCCGCGAAAACTAGAGCAAACGTTCAAGGCGAATGTGCGCGGCGCTAGGGTCAGAACCACATTTTGAAAACGGTCCGCCTTCGATACAGACAATGTTTGCAAAGTTCTAGGGCGAATGAGGTCCCGGGCGCTAAGACGAGAGCCAAATTTTGAAAATCACCCAGCTTCGGCCCACCATGCCGACACGTCTCGGGTTGCGACAGGGAGGGGTTATGTATAGTGAACAGGGATGAACAAGGAGGAGGAGGAGGACGAGGAGGAAAACGGAGGAGGGAGATGAGGCGAAGGAGGATGGGTTGGTTTGTTAGGTTTGCCTGTGGAGGGTAACGTTTCGAGCCCCTTGGTAAGGGCCCTTTCTGCGAAACTGTGCCAGGCGGGGTTTCCCTTCGTGGCGGCTACTGTCAACAGCGACCAATGGGGCGACCTTTGGTGGAAGCCCGCCTGTGTCGCCCAGACCCCACCCAGCCTCGCACTAGTTAGCAGATCCTTGAATGGGGAAGGAACTGCATATGCATATGCATATTCTTGAAATGGGGTTGGGCCAGCCTCTAGCGCCCCCATGTGCGTGGATTGGTGCCTGCCGCCGGTCCAAGAGGAGGGAGGACGAGGACGAGAAGGAGGAGGAGAAGGAGGAGGAGGTGGAGGAGGAGGAGCCGGAGGGAGGGATGAAGGGAGAAGGTAGGGAAAAGGAACGAGGAGGAGGAGGAGGTGGAGGAGGAGGTGGAGGAGGAGGAGGAGGGAGGAGGGAGGGAGGAGTGAGGAGGAGGAGAGGGGGAGGGATGAGGAGGGGGAGGAGGGAGGGAGGAGGTTGGTAGGAGGAGGAGGAGGAGTAGGAAAGAGGAGGAAGAGAAGCTGTTCCGTGAGGTCCCCGTGCGAGTTCGCAGGGGGCCCCTCTGGAGGCCCCCCCCCCGCCGGACGGTGCGCCGCGCATCGCACCCGCGCGATGCTTCGCTTTTTCCGCACTCGCCGCCGCTGCTCCACCGCCGTCTGAGAAGCACAGGCCGCTGGCTCAAAAGTCTGCCCCGTTCGGCCTGTCCTCCTCCTCCTCCTCCTCCTCCTCCTCCTCCTCCTCCTCCTCCTCCTCCTCCTCCTCTCTCCACCGTCGTCGTACTGAAGGACTTCGGTAGACCAGCACTTTTTTTAAACAGCCGAGAGGGACCCTGTGGCAAGAGAAGGGGAGAGGACGACCACGACGACGACGACGACACGACGACGACGACGACGACGACGACGACGACGTCGACGTCGATGACGACGACGACGACGACGACGACGACGACGACGACGACGACGACGGCGGCGACGACGACGACGAAGCAGCAGCAGCAGCGCAAGCGGGCCGACGCCTTGGCGCTACCACGCGTTGGCGCTACCACGCGCTGGCGCTGCCACGCGCTGGCGCCACCACGCGTTCTGAGGATCATCACCGGCATGCGCCGACGCAGCTCGCCTTTCGGCGGCCTCGCCGGGCGCACCGCCCGCGGGCGCGCCCCCCTACGTATCGACCGCATGGCCTCCGCCCACCTGCGCTAGGCGCTGTGGGCCGAAGCAGCTGGGCCCGACCACCCCCTCTCCACCTCCTCCTCCACCTCCTCCTCCTCCTGCTCCTCCTCCTCCTTCTCCCCCTCCTCTTCTTCCTCCTCCTCCGCCTCGAGCAGATGGCAGAAGCATAACTTTCGGAGCTCCGCGCGGATTTCTTTTGTATCAGCTTCTGGTCCCCCCTGGCGGCGCCTCTGGCGCCACCCCCGGCGCGCGCTCCGCGCGCCAGGGAGAGGGGTCCAGCGCCGATCCGAGAAATCCGCGTGGACCTCCGAAAGTGTATGTCTGCATTGCTCGCTGTGTCTCTAACCACTACAGTCCAAGACCCCTCGCGTCGAGAAAATCAAACAGCGGAAGGGTTTTGGTTGTTTTTGGCTTTGGGGCCCTCGACGGGACCCTTGGACCGTCAAAAAATATTCGGGATAAAAGATTAGTCTTCAGAAGGGTCCAGATAACCCTGGGGGTCGACGTCATGAAAAAGTCATGACTGCGGAAGTCTGAGGGGTTCGATGCGGAGATTTATCATAACTGCCGCGTCGGGGATCGATCTTCGGAAGCTTCGTCAGGGGGGGAGATGTTTGATATGCTCGAGCTCTTTGGAAGGGGGGTGGGGGCAAATATATCCATATCCACCGCCTGCCGAGGGTTCCAAAGATCGATGCCCCAGGCAGGGGATATGTATCACCCCCCGCATTGCACATAGGCCCTTCGCCTCCAGAAGTCTATACGCACCTTGCCGTTCGCACCCCGCCCCACCCCATGCCAGAAGGGATAGAAGACCGATGTGCCGAGCAGGTGAGCGCTTTGCCACTCGGGCCCGACTACAGACAAACACCCTCACCTAGTGGAGCGAAGGATAACAGAAACCTAGAAACTCGGAGGTCCGCGCGGATTCCTCGGATCGGCGCTGGACCCCCTTCTCTGGCGCGTGGAGCGCGCCAGGGGCTTCGCCGGAGGC